TGCAAATAACGGTATTCCCATATTAGATGATATAATTAATAATAAAACGAATCAAATTTTAATTAAACTCAAAAAATTCAGTTTCAAAAATTTAAAATTTTAAATGTAAAAATTCCTAAATATAATGAAGATCTCGTTCTTAAATTTCTTAAAGAATTTACATCCTTCGGCCTTACATTTTATTTATACTTTTTTGATAACACACTTTATGAAACATTTAATAAAGTTTATATTCAAGAATTTCCAACTAATATATTAAAACTTATTAAATGTACAAAATTAGTAAATTCGGTAATTGAAAAACATGAACAAATTATGATGATAAGATTTCAACACGAAGGTAAATGTAATCATCGAGGAATACTCGAAACAACCGACACCTCAAAAGAAATTATTATTGGCCAAGTATAAAATCCGATATAACCACTTTTATAAATAATTGCGAGGTATGTCAACTCGCTAAATATAACCGAAAACTAACCTATGTTCCACTTGTTCTCACTGAAACCCCATCCAAACCATTCGAAATAGTCCACATAGATACGTTTAAGTTTTATAATAAAATATAGGTACCTAACAATTCTTGATAAATTTTCAAAATTCGGTCAAGCAATAGAAATAAGGGGCACAACTGCCATCGAAAGTTACAACGCACTTCTTGATTTTTTCTCGTACTACGGATTACCATTAAAAATTATTATGGATAATGTTAGTGAGTTTAATAACGGGACTCTTAAGTAAATGCTTGAGTTACACAAAATTACTATTCATTTTACAACACCTTTTCATCATGAATCAAATTCACCAGTAGAACGATTTAACTCAACTCTTATTGAACACCTTAGACTTTTAAGAAATACACATAAGGACGACATAAATTTGATGAAGTATGCAATTATTGCTTACAACAGTTCAATTCACTCAGTAACAAACAAATTTCACCCCCCACGAACTAGTTTTTGGCCATACCACCTTGCTTGATCCATCATTTTAAATCCTTAATTAACGATCAAATTAGCTTACTACAGATATCAATCAATAAATTTAAAAACAACTTTCAAATATTATCAAAATATATTAAAAAACAAAATAGAACAGCTCGAAACGCTTTTCAACGAAAACCGTTTAACGACTGCTGAAATCTTTCACTTTCATTTGCAAATAATATTTTCGCAATTGTCTATTATGTTTCAATTCATTTATGACATATTAGAAAAAATACAAATTGCAATTACATTTTCAAAATTAAATATATTACACAACTCAATTATGGATCCAAAGGACTTAATTAGTGAAATTTTAAACATAAATCAACATATTTATAATCAAAAACTTCCATTTAAACCTGAATTAGAAAATATTCTGCTTTTCGAAAAAATTATAAAAATCAAAAGCTATGTAAAAAAAAGGAAAATCATTTTTATTTTGCAAGTGCCTTTAGTTGAACCACAAAATTTTAATAAATTTCACCTATACCCATTTCCTGTATTTACAAATGATACCTATAAAATCATAATTCCTAAATCCAAATACCTTATTTTAAATGAGCACAACTTTGCATTACTCAACACATACTGCGATATTGTAAAATCAGAAGAATACCTATGCCGAAATACTGATATTCTAAACATTTCCGATAAGTCTCCATGTGAAGTTTAACTATTACAATATTTAAGTAATACCAGCAATTGCCAACAAGTTCCAGTAGCTGTATCCTCTCTTATGGTTCAAAATCTAGGAAACAACCAATGGATCATCATTAGCCCCACATCCTTAGTAGCTAGAATTAATTGTGCGGATAATAAGGACTTATTTCCAATAATCGGGAGTTACGTTTTAGAGCTTAAAGACAAATGTGAAGTGCAAATAAACGATGTTGTTTTAAAGGGTTACTCCGATTCCAATGTAATTTTAAAAAATATTGATCTGTCCCATCTACAGTTTACAAAGGCTTATAATGAAAAAGACATTAAAGAAAATTAATTCAACTTGAAAATTTAGATTTAGATGATATAAAAACTATTCATAGTGCATTAAATAAACAAAGACTTTAAATTAGTGGTATAGATGACGCTCCAATTCATTTCCATAGAGTTAGTGCATATACGGTTTTGTTATATGTCCTAATCGTTATATTTTGCATTTTTGCTTATCTTTATATTAAAAAAAAGGTGTCGACCAACCGTAGATGTAGAATTATCGAACTCTGGTATCAACCCCATAGTTCTCAAGTGAGGCCGAAGGAGTTATGAACGTCCCAACCTGAGAATTCGCAGGCTCAGCAGTAAAGATAATAAAACGAATGTAAAACATAATAAGATTGTCTTCATGTAATTCACACTTAAACACAAACCACAAACAAAAGTCGCGACGATCTTTACTTTATCTAACCCCAAAGGTTCAAAAATAGAATAACAGTTGTTAGTTAACAGGGCAGTTAACCATTAGTCTGTTAACGTTAACGTTGCTCTGTGGGAAACAGGTCCGCACTGGAAACATTTTGCCTAAAAATGAAAGGTCGTGATAGAAGTTGCGATGTCGCCTAGAGCCTAGGTGCCGGTGTAGAGCATTTAAATATATTATATATATATACACGTGCACTAAATAAAAAGAAGCATTCAAAGTTTAAAATTAACGGTCAATACTTCCTTTTAAGCAACAAAACGTCCCGTATCACAGCGATATATGTTTTATATTAACCACAAAAAATGCATAATCGTGTTAGAGACCCGTTGTCTTAGCTGCTCTTGGAATAGGTAAATTTAATGTGTTTCAAGTTTTTGTTTCTTTGTATTCTTTTTTTTTTGAGAATGGGTCTGTTGGATTAACAATACATTTCGTTTTAGATTTGAGGTTGGTAGATGAAGTATGATTTTGAATTAAACTGTCTTGGACTATCTTCATCTTTGATTCTATATACACGACTCCGTTTCGGTTTACTGGCACATGTCTTTGGTTCACTGATGCTTGTCTTTTGTGCTCCGATGATTTTTTCAGTGTTAACTCGTTGATTTTATGTAGTAGTGGCTTCCATAGTGGCCTAATTTCCACGCTAGGCTGACTAAACACATTCCGATTTTGCAGCTTCAATAAATTTTCTTTTTATGTAGTGAGCTTCTTTGTATATAATTTTTGTCTCGTTCCATGTTGTGGTGCTTCTCCCAAACGTGGTCCGCTACTCCTGATTTTGTTATTTCTCCTTTGCTTGTGTGTGTTTTATGTTCTTTTATCCTCACTTGTATTGGTCTTTTTGTTTCACCGATATAAGCTTCTCCACACTCACATGGGATGTGGTAAATCGCATTTTTATCGTTTTTACTGCTCTCGGGTTTGGTTTTGGATAATGCACTTCGAAATGTTGATTTTGACGAAAATCTTGTCTCCACACCTAGTCGTGTAGCCGATTAAGCCACTATGGAAGCCACTACTACATAAAATCAACGAGTTAACACTGGAAAAATCATCGGAGCACGAAAGCCAGGCATTAGTGAACCAAAGACATGTGTCAGTAAACCGAAACGGAGTCGTGTATATATAGTTTTTACATTTTGAAATTTGATCATTCTACACTTGAAAACGATCACAGATAGTTGATTGAAACGTTGTGTTATAAAAGAATCAAAGATGAAGATAGCCCAAGACAGTTTAATTCAAAATACATTTCGTTGTAGCAAAAATTTACCCTTTCAAAAACTTTCTGCTTGTTTTCTTGGTTCGCTTTACTCGCTTTGTGTACCTGGACCATCGTTTCTCGCATCATCTGGCCACCAGATTTTTAGGCAACGTTCGATAAACTTGTAGTTTTTTTATCTAAGCGTTCCTTTTACCTTGGTTTGCTAAGCCTTTGGCCTTTAACACCACAATTTAGAAAAATTGTACTTTAAAATAAATTTGTAAAAAGTATTTAAGTACTGAACATTACATACGCCCCTTTAAAAGGTTGACAAATTACGTTGGACGGCTTGTCAAACTTTAAACATCCCTGTTCTTTTTTTGGGTTGAGTACGCCCCTGTTCACACTTGTCCTTCGGCCGTCCCAACTCCTATACACATGACTAGATAGCTCACATCAAATACATTTAACGTACATGAAAAATAAAAGAAAGACTAATCAGTACATTTAAATAAAATAAAATAGAATAAATAAACATGAAAAAAATATATAACAACAATATATAGTCGTGTATCAGAGTCAAATGTCAATAGTTATATAAGTTCGTCAGCTCAAGAGTATAATTTTGGGACATAAGAGAATAAATCAAAATAAAAATAAACATGACACACCAGTAGAATAACTATGCCGTTTCCAGCGCTCTGTTTCCGTTTACCGCCAACAGAGGGCGCCACCAGCCGCGTCCGCCATCTTGGTCGGTATAGTAGAAATCTATTTCCGTTTTAAAAAAGGTAAACAGAAACCTGTAATCTTTTCGTTTATCGCCGGCAGAGGGTGCTACCAGTCACCGTCCGCCATCTTGGCCGATATAGTAGAAATTTATTTTTGTTTTGACAACCATTTTGGCAAATATGGAAAATAGAAACCTGTAATCTAATGTGTGTAATTCATTTTTAAATCACCAGGTGGCCACGCCTCCTAACCATAAGTAGCGTTGTTTGTTAAGTAGAAATCTACTTTTTACCTATATTAAGTACAATTTACAGAACGGTAAATGGTGCTATTCCCAGGAGAAATTTTAAAATTTGTTAAATAAAACGAATAATATGTTGGATTTTTATTAACCTATATTATACATTAAATAAATATATAAAATAAACTAGACATATAATTCTACAGCACTTAATCAATAAAAACAAAAACCTATGCTAATATACAGGAACACATTTTTTTTTTAAATATTATGCAGATTATAAATATAATAAGAAAATTAAAATAACTAATACTAACCATAAAAAAACTAATAAATAGATATAAATATAAATATATATAATTCTACAATACAATCAACAAAAACTAGTACTATAATTATGGATAACAGCAGATAAGCAAAACATACAGGAATTATAATAAATTAAATAATTTATATATTATATAATGCTTAAAAAATTGCTATTTAATTATGATTAATACTATAATGTCCCCAAGGTAGTGTATCATGTGTAATGTTTTCTAAAAGATATCTTCTATCATCAAAGGAGCTCAATCCAATTTTTTGTTGTTTAATGCTATAAACATTATGGGTAATAGACCTAATTGAATTTTGACTTATAATTTTATCGGTTTTTGTATTTAAATAATCGAAATAGTCTTGAAATGTTATTCCATTTTTAACAACAGTATTTTTAACACCTTTCGATTTTTTAACACATTTTTCACCCTCAATTTTAAAAGTATACATTTTGGAGCGCAAACCAACAAAATGTGACATAATCTTTCCATTTAATTCATCTTTCATCAGTCCCGGTATTGTTTTATTTATCAAAGGAATATTGCACTGATTATTTTTTGCATAATCACTCGTATCAAATCTATGTATATTCTCACGAATAATTTCATCATATGCATCATTACAGTTAAATTCATAGACCAAACTATCAGTATCCATGTATAATAATTTGGTGTGGTTGAATTTAGATAAAATAAAATCATAGTGAAAAGCATATACACATGTTTTCAATATATCGAGAATTGCCATACCTATGTATAAAGGTTTGTTAAAACATAAATTAGTTTTACTAAGTTCTACGGCAATAAGATTTTCATTAAAAATAGTTCGGTTTTGAAAATTTGGACTTGCAATTAAATTTTTAGCACCATATCGGCCTTCCCATCTAGTAACTAATTTAACAATTCTATGTGTTTAGATTTAGTTTTTATATATTTAAATAATTGTCTGGCTTATGGTACACTGTGCGACTGTAGTTCAAAAAGCGATCTTCTCAGCTGACCAATCAGGTTACCGCTGGCCGCGTCACCTGATTTTGTTTCCCGGTTTCTAGATTTTTAGATTTACTCCACCCAGTACTCAATCAGGGCACGTCGTACGTCCCAAGCCAGTTTTTATTACTCTGTTCTGTACCTATTTAACCATTATTGTTATACAAAAACGAGATGAATGTTTATACAATAAATTTCGCATATGATTAGAATCCCTCGGTGGTTTTAATTAATCTGATCACGCATTCACGGGGCTGCACTGTCCATAAGTGCAAATGCAAACATATGGTCCTTCGAAAACGAATAATCAACAGTGAAGTGGATTTGCGCTATTTATTTAGCCACCTCTAGCAGCCAACGACTGGTGTTCGTAACGCCGTCAGCCGGAGACAGCAGCCGCTTAGAAAATCAGCATTGCAAGGAAGCCCAAAGCTACAAACGGGAATTTTCCACAAAACATTTTGTTATTAACAAAAGCATTGGTCGTGCAATAACGGTCGCAACAGGTGAGTGTGCATTCTTTCTTTCCCACTCCTTACTACCTCGTCTGCGCTGTTTATCTCTCGTCTCGTCAACGCCGCGCCGTTTAACAAACACGCCCTAAAAAAAACAGCTGTTCGGTCGGTTTCTCACAAATAAATAACAATCAAACGTTTCGCGAGCAATCGCAGCTTAATTTGCTACGCCGCCGCGGCGGTACACAATTAAACTAGGTACATATTAGTTTAACTTCTCTTGTTGCATCATGGATAAAGATTTAAAACAATTAAAGCAAAAACGCACCACATTTAAAGGTCAATTAACCAGATTTTCTACGTTTTTAGAAAATCAAAAAACAGCTGATTCGCCCGATTTAATTCAGATTGAGTCGCGTTTGGATAAAATCGAACGGATTTTTGATGAGTTTAGCGAGACGCAAGCAATGATTGAGTCGTGTAAAAATATTAACGAGCAAGATGCGGAGCGGGTTCTATTCGAGGACTCATTTTTTGCTGCGGTCAGCGTTGCGAAGCAAATTTTAAGAAACGCGGTAAAGGCTGACGACAACCCCACTCTCAGCACTCAATCGACGCATAATCATTCCGCACCGGAAATAAAGTTGCCTATTTTGAATTTACCAACTTTTGATGGCTCTTATAGCCAGTGGCTATTTTTCCGGGACACATTTAAATCAATTATTCATGAAAATGTTAACATTTCTGACGTTCAGAAATTTCCCTACCTTAGATTGTCTCTCAAAAGTGACGCAGCCGAGATCATTCGCTGCCTTGAGGTTTCGGCCGCTAGCTATGACACTGCTTGGAAACTTCTTATCGAACGTTTCGAAAACGAGAGTTTACTCGTAAATAATCACGTGACGGCACTTTTTAGCCTAAATAACATTTCAAAAGAGTCCTATACTGACTTAAGACGTCTTTTAGATGACGTTACAAAACACTTGCGCGCTTTAGTAATGTTAAAGCAGCCAGTACAGCACTGGGACACATTGCTTATACATTTAGTCACCGTAAAGCTTGATAGTAATACGCGTCGCGATTGGGAGTCAAAAATCTCTCGCAAAATTCCGACTTTTGAGCAACTCTCCGAATTTCTAAGGGACAAATGCAATGTTCTTGAAAAGGTTCAGCCAAACCAGTTGGTTAAACCACGCCAGCTAAAATCATACGCTTCTACCGAATCACAAAAATGTATCTCTTGCTCCGGTAATTATGCTGTCTACTCTTGCAAGGAATTCCTAAAGCTAGATGAACGTGATCGTTTCAAATTGATCAAAGATCGTAACGTTTGTATTAATTGCCTTAAACACAGTCACGAAGTAAAGTATTGCAAGTCCGGTACGTGCAGAACATGCAACAAAAGGCATCACACCCTGTTACACTTCAAGAGTGAAGCTTCAAACAACGAAACTCCACCTGAGCCGGCACCTGAGGTTGGCAAAGCCACTGCAACCCTTTCCAGTCAGTGTAACTCTTCTTATACTATGCTTTCAACAGCGTTAGTTGAGGTTTATGATTCTCATGGTGAGCTTCACACTTGCAGAGCCTTATTGGATTCGGGCTCTCAATCAAATTTTGTCACTGAACAACTCGTCCGCAAACTGAAGCTGCATCTTCATGACACAAATTATACTATAAAGGGAATTACCTCCTCACTCACAAAAATTAAGCGACGTTGTGAACTCAAATTCAAATCTCGGACGAATAGCTTTCTCCCAAAGATAACGGACGATTTCCCAAATTTCCCCCTAAATAAAAGTCAATTCAACATTCCTAAGCATACAATTTTGGCCGATCCAAACTTCTGCACTGTCGGTGAGATTGACTTACTTCTAGGTTCAGAAATATTTTGGGAACTCCTCAGCGTAGGTCAGCACAAACTTGGCAAGGGCAAACCCACTTTGCAAAAAACCCGATTAGGTTGGATAATTGCAGGTACTGTCAGCTCCTCATTAGTTTCCCTCTCCACTACTTGTCATTTTACAAGTCAAACCAGTCTTGATGATCAACTCTTAAGGTTCTGGGAGTTGGAAAACCTAGATAGCGTTCGCTCTTCTACTCCTGACGAAAACTTCTGTGAAGCCCATTTTCAGTCTAATACTGTCAGAGACAAGGACAACCGTTTTGTCGTAACCATCCCCCTCTCGAAGCCCACCACTCTTCTCGGAGACTCTAAGGCGCAAGCTGAGCGTCGATTTCTATCATTGGAGAGAAAGCTCCAGAAAACAACAAATGTTCGAGCATCTTATGCCGACTTTTTAAATGAATATGAAAAGATGGGCCACATGACTAGGGTGACAACGTTGTTAAATATTATCTGCCACATCATTGTGTTATCAAAGAGGAAAGTTCTACAACTAAACTCAGGGTTGTGTTCGACGCTTCTGCCACAACCGATTCGGGTTATTCCTTTAATAACATTCAGTATGTTGGTCCAGTCCTCCAAGAGGATTTGTTCTCCATACTTGTAAGATTCAGACAACACAAATATGTTGTGACGGCCGATATCGCCAAAATGTATCGGCAAATATTGGTTAATCCCACTCAGAGAGATTTACAACGAATCCTTTGGCGTTTAGACTCTTCTGCCCCTCTACAATCGTATCGTTTAAATACCGTCACTTACGGCACCTCAGCTGCGTCCTTTCTCGCGGTGCGCTGCTTGTTCCAATTGGCAGACGAATGCGATGATCAAAAAATCGCGAACATAATCAAGTCAGATTTTTATATGGATGACCTACTAACCGGGGCCGATGACATCAATCACGCGACAGATATTTGCTTGAAAGTCCGCAATGAGCCAAGGATGTTTCGAACTTCGCAAATGGCGTTCTAACTGCTCGGAAATCCTTAAGGAATTGGAACCACCAGCAGTAGATTCGAATATTTTGGATTTGGGCGCTAATTCAAACAGCAAGACATTAGGTTTATATTGGCATTGTCTATTCGATACTCTTAAATTTTCTATAAGCTGCTCAAATACCGGGAAAATCACTAAACGATCAATTCTGTCTGCTACAGCTCAGATTTTCGACCCTTTGGGTTTAATAAGTCCTTGTACTCTACCTTGCAAAATCATCCTTCAGCGATTGTGGGAAAATAAAGTATCCTGGGACGAATCTGTTCCGCACAACATCCACACGAGATGGGCGACATTTCGTGACCAACTAGGCCAACTAAATGAGCTTTCAATTCCAAGACATGTCCTATCCGAACGTCATGACAGCGTCGAGCTTCACTGTTTTTCTGACGCTTCTGAAAATGCTTACGGAGCTTAAACTCCCAAGAAAAACATTCTGTTCGACTGCTCTGCTCAAAAACTCGTGTGGCTCCGCTCAAAACGCAGACCATTCCTCGTCTCGAATTGTGCGGGGCACTGTTGGCAGCAGAACTTTCAAATAAGGTAAAAGAATCTCTTCGAATCAAGATAACCTCCATAAGGTATTGGTGCGACTCCACTATCGTGTTATCGTGGATCCACAATCCTCCGAATATCTGGAAAATATTCGTGTCCAATCGAATCTCCAAAATTCAGTCCCTGACTAACCCAAATGATTGGGGTTATATCTCCAGCGAGGATAACCCTGCTGACATTCTAAGTCGTGGATGCAAGCCTTCACTTTTGGTCAATTCACGAGCTTGGTGGCAAGGTCCACAGTGGCTCTCTACTTCCGATTCTCAATGGCCAGAGTATACAGCACGCCCCATTCTCCCAAAGGTCACTGACCCAAACGTTGCCAAGGAGAGGCGCACTGAAGCCTCATCCTTTTCGGCATCCGTTTCTTCGGATTTTATTCAAAGGTTTTCCACCTTCGTCAAGTTGCAAAGAATCACAGCGTGGTCGCTTCGCTTTAAAACCAATTGTCTTAACCGCGTTGCCAGGTACTGGGGCCCCTTAACGGCTCTCGAGCTTGGTAATGCTGAATACCAGTTGATCAGACTTGCTCAAATAGAGCACTTTCATGTCGAATTGAAGGCGTTATCAAGCGGCGGAACTGTTCCTCCCAATTCCCCAATGTACAAATTGTCACCTTTTTTGGACGAAATTGGATTGATAAGGGTAGGTGGTCGACTCAAACATTCTTATTTTGCCAATGATAAAAAACATCCCTTAATTTTATCGGCAAAACACCACTTGTCAAATTTGCTCGTCACAAGAGAACATCACGCGTCCTGCACGCGGGACCTCAAGCCGTTGTGTCATCTCTGAGGGACAAATACTGGATTCTGTCTGCGAAAAATCTCACCAAAAACATTATACACAAGTGTGTCACATGCTTCAAAAGCAAGCCAAATAACTTAACCTATTACATGGGTGACTTACCGCATGATAGGGTTACTCCTGCCAGACCATTCTTAAACTGCGGCGTGGATTATGCTGGTCCTATTGCCATAAGAGACCGAAAAACTAGGGGATATAAAGCGCTCAAATCCTACGTTTGTTTATTTGTTTGTTTCGCCACGAAGGCCATACACCTAGAATTAGTTAGCGACCTTACTACCGATTCCTTTATGCTGGCGCTTCGTAGATTTGTTTCGAGACGCGGAAAGTGTAAGAATATTTATTCCGATAACGGAACTAATTTTGTCGGGGCTCAGTCTGAATTAAAGCGTTTCTTAAAAGGTTCAAATAACGATTTTCAACGGCAACTAGCGGATGAATTAATCTCTTGGCATTTCATACCCCCTAGAGCTCCCCACTTTGGGGGACTTTGGGAAGCTGGTGTAAAGTCGGTAAAACACCACTTGCGTCGCGTTGTGGGCAATTCCCTGCTAACTTTTGAAGAGATGACGACCGTCTTGACGCAGATCGAGGCGTGTCTAAACTCCCGACCTATATCCCCGCTATCTGACAACCCTGAAGATTTAACTCCTCTGACTCCTGCACACTTTCTCATTTTTGACCGACTGACTGCCGTGCCAGACGAAAATCATGAAGACAAGCCCATGAATCGGTTGTCTAGATTCCAACATATCCAGTCCATGGTTCAACATACTTGGAGACGCTGGTCACGCGAGTACATATCGGAGCTCCAAACTCGAACGAAATGGAGAAAGCAATGCTTCAATCTCCTGAAGCCTGGAGTTCTAGTTCTCATAAAAGAGGACAATTTGCCGCCCCTGAAGTGGTCATTGGGTAGGGTGATCCAAGTCCAACCCGGCCGTGATGGTGTTCCCAGAGTAGCAACATTGAAAACCAGTGCTGGTGTTGTGAAAAGGCCTGTTATAAAACTGTGCGTGCTGCCGTGTGATTAGAAAAAATAGTGCGCGTCATGTGACAAACATTACATACCTTTAAGTTAATTTAAGAATACTTGTTTTGAAAGTTACCCCTTTCAACGGGGCCGACATGTTTAGATTTAGTTTTTATATATTTAAATAATTGTCTGGCTTAGGTACACTGTGCGACTGTAGTTCAAAAAGCGATCTTCTCAGCTGACCAATCAGGTTACCGCTGGCCGCGTCACCTGATTTTGTTTCCCGGTTTCTAGATTTTTAGATTTACTCCACCCAGTAACTGCATTGTACTCAATCAGGGCACGTCGTACGTCCCAAGCCAGTTTTTATTACTCTGTTCTGTACCTATTTAACCATTATTGTTATACAAAAACGAGATGAATGTTTATACAATAAATTTCGCATATGATTAGAATCCCTCGGTGGTTTTAATTAAATTTAAATTAGATCACGCATTCACGGGGCTGCACTGTCCATACGTGCAAATGCAAACACTATGCTTTCTAATGTTTTCCATCGTCTTGACAAAGGCTGAATTATTTTGAAATTTGAATAGATTTTTTTCAAAATCATTTTTTGCATTTTGTCGTAAATTTGTATTTAATTCTATATAAGGCTTTAACCAGGGTGATTGTTTAAATTTTAAAAAACGATGTATTTTAGTTAATATTAATCCGTGTGAAAGAGCTTGTTTTAAATTACGATAGTGAATAATATATTTAGATTTGTTAGTTAGGGTGGTCATTAGTTTAGATAATTTTGAATTTGGTGGTTTTTGATTTTCTGGGCAAAAGGGTAAGTCCTTGTGTAGATCATGTAAATGCTGCGGATATTCCAAGTCAACTTCTAAAAAGTATCCAACAGGTGAATTATCTGATACATTAAAATCATCAAAGTTTTCATGATTTTTAACCCACTCAAACCCATCATATGGTAAATATTGAGACATTCCCCAGGAGTAAAGAGCATTTACATTGAAATAGAGTAGATATTTGGAGGGTTTTGATGGATTAAAATTAGTCATATATTTGTTGTTTGCCTCTGAATAGCGATTACAGCATTGACTAACACCACCACGAATTGCTTTTTCAATAAATAAGATCATATCAACATCTTTTAGTATTTGTAAAGGGCATTGAGTATACTTTAACATACAATCCCAGGTATATTCAGGTAAAGTATAGTAATGTGCAGGGTCAAGCCTATATGTTTTAAAGGAACTGTTGCGAAATTGTTCGAAAACATCAGCTAATAGTAAACTATCTGTTTTCAAGTAAAGATCTGAATATTCACCTAAATTTTGACAACCGAATTCTCGCCAGATATGCTGAGCATGCGCATAATCATTTTCCGAAATATCACAATCATTAAGTTTTTTGTAAAAAACTGATTTTTCAGGTAGACAAGGAAAATCTAATTTTTCTTCGGAATCTACAAAATCATAAGGAAAAACACCCTTGCGCTGTAAAAGTGTTAAGTTATCATTAGACAAGTTTTTAAATTCCTTTCTTAAAATTGGATATTCAGTTAAATAAGATGATAATTTATCAAAAATAGAGGCCATAAACCTAAATGAATCAACAAAACGTAATTTTATGATTGTTTCATTATCATAAATAGTAAAGGATATGTATTTTTCTTTATTTATTGGTAAAAGCGATATTCTACTGAAGTTAGCAAGATCTTTTATTAAGAAATGGCTATCATATTTTGTTAAATTGTGAAATACAACTGGTACCATGAATGTATTTTTGTAATTTAGGTTGCAAACCCGATGTGCAAACCCACGGAATTGTCCGTTTTGATGATTATGATCTCTGACAATTACATCACCCTGTATAAAATATTTATTACAAATATGACACTTTTTAGCGTTTTTTAAATCAATATCGACATTCATGGGTATGTTACCTTTTAATTTTAATTGAACAAATTTAGCAACCTCCTTTAATTCGTTTGCAAACCACTCGATACAATCTAAACCGCGATAGCTTTTATAAAACGATAAAGTATCATCATAATCATGCTGATATTTAGATGTTTTTGTTGTATTTTTATTATCATTAATAACGAAAGGTACTTTTTGTTGAAATTTTAAATTTAAAAACTCTACATAATCTTCTTCTGGAAACGAAATTTTGCAATCATTTAATTTTTGACAATATTCTTCATGTTCATTTAACTTGATTTGACTAGAAAAATAATTTAGACAACGGTCACAAATAAATATTTTATGATTATGTTTTGTATGCTGATTTCCTACCAGCCTAGATAAATTTTTGATCCATACATAATGATACTTTATTTCATTATTATCGGATACATCTATAAATGGCTTACAATCTGGCTGTTTGGGGAAATATATGTTTTGAATTAAAAGTAAATTAACATGCTGAGCTAACTTATTTTTAGTAAGTCTGATAGGTATAGTGTTGTATTTGGAAGTGTTATCCGTTTTAATAAGTTCCAAACCGTAAACATTTATGGATATTGAATTTAATTTTTCAAATTTTACAATATCATTTAGTTTCATAGGAAGCTCAATATTTGTAAAATTTAAAGAATCCCTAAATCTTATATGAAGAGGGTCTCTCCAAATTATTTTTTAGCTTGTTTGAGTACAGTGCTGATAGCAAGCTCCATAAAAAACAGTTTTAATCTAAATTTTTAACATTAACACAAGCACCCTTTCTAGCAATCTGTTCTGGTAACTTAAGACGAACCACCATTACCCATCTCATATTTATTAATATTAATTTCTAACTTTAAAATTTTATGTAAAGCCCACCCTGAGTCCTTCTTTGCAAATTCACTTAATTTATTTAAAATTTTATCTATAACATTATGGGTAAACCATTGATTTAAATCTACCCCGCTATCTATAACTACGTTTTTGGTATTAAAATATTTAATTTCATTAATTGTTTGGTCTTCGTTCTTTTAATAAATTCACCACCAAAGCAAACATTAACTTTTATTAGAGAAAATCTTTTTAAAACATTACACACTTTTAGTTTGAAAAGGAAAAATGCATCATTTAAAAATTGGTTTATATCAATACGTTTTAAATTAATTATAATTCCTGTTCTTATGCGTGATTGAAAACTGCTATTTAGTTCTTGACATTGCACTCGACTACCCCTAGAATTTTTGAACCCCGCACCTCTTTGCTTTAATTATTGTTTTTAAGTGTTTCACTTGTTCTAAATTAGTAATTAAGTTACGTTGAGTACCTGCAGAATCCTTATGGTTTTTGATTAGTTTATTGAATGATTTTATGTTTTTGTTCAAGTATCCCAACCACAAAAACTTTTCATCCTGACTGCAGTTTTCAACCAAAATTTCGCAAGCAGCTCTTAACTTGTTGACTATTTCAGTGCTTAATTCAGCTTGAGTTGATTGAAGAGATATCTTTCCTAAAAAATATGTTAGTTAAGTTAATAAAACCTTAAATAAATATTTAAATATTGAATATAAAGCTGTTTATTTAAAAAATATTTTTATTACTCACTTTGTATTGATGATTTACACAAAGAAAATGGTTAAATCGATGGTATTTATCAATATCCTCACAACTTCAATTTCAAGCTAAAAATTAAAAAAATGTTTAATATTATATACCATAATTAATTATAATGCAAAATGTATGTACAATGATAGATACGGATCACTCTGTATACAAAAATAAATGTAATATAACAATATTATTTAGCATTTACAAATATTTAAAACATAACTAAAATTATTAACTACCTTATTCGATGATATCCTCAATTAAACTTAAAGCTGTTTGATCACTTGGTGAAAAACCATTTTAATTTATCATTCTTCTTTGCAATTCTATTAATAGCATATTATACAATTTTTTCTATGGGAATCCCTGGGATGGCAAAAAAAATAAAAAATTCGATTAATCGATCAATTGATTAATCGAATTAAAATAATAATGTTATAATTAAATCGGTACAAAAATATCGATTAATCGATTAATTAATCGATTAATTTTTAAATTAAAAATTTTAATAAACCAAGGTAATTTTTTTAATAGTTTTTTTATTTAAATTACCTACATACCTATGTATTATTAAAGGATATGTATTATTAAAGGATTACATTAAAAATTGTAGTACTCATTACTTATTTTTTAGCCATGACCTCAAAAATAATAATTTGGATAATCTTTTAATTAACAGCCGGTTCCGTTTTTCTGTTGCTACCGGCTTCTGAAAATAGTCGCTCTGAGGGCACTGACGTTCCAATGAGGTGGCAATACTTTTTTGATAGGTTATAGAGCCTCGGATACACTGTTTTCATGTCTTCCCAAGCCACAATAGGACTTTCTTTTAAGTCTATTACCGGCGTATTTAGAAAAAACGTCAATTCGTCTTGAGGATTGGAGAGTGTGGAGTCCTGGTTATTTTTCTTCTTTTTTTGAACCAAGTCCTTGTGGTGGGCCCATAGATCAAATGTATCCTTATCTCCTGTGCTCGAGCTGGCATTTTCATCGTGCCGTCCAATTTTACTTACTTTTTAAACTTCGTCCAGTAGCAAACAATTGCCAATTGCGAAAACGGCTGACAAGTTGTCAGTGACAACCAACAAAAATATTAGCAGGACCTCGAGCGGGAACGAAAAACATACAAGATACGACAAACCGAAACTTCAACCGCCAAATGTTTAGATTAAAGGTCATTATCAGGGTGGGTTATTTCACCCTGATCATTATCTAAAGAAAAAGAAGAAGAAGATAGCCAAAGACTACTCTTTGCATGTTTGCACCTTTATAATTTGGGGTTTTCATTTCTGGCGTCTGTCACTAGAAAAAAATTAAAAACGACCGATTAATACCAAATTAATCGATTAATTATCAATTAATCGAAACCGAAAATATTATATGATTAATCAATTGATTCCAGACAAATAATCGATTATTTGATTTATATAATGTTTTAGTAATGACTCACACAACTAAAATTTAAAAATAAATTAAATTATGTTAAATGTATCTATAATAACTAAAAATACAAACTTACTCAAGAGATAGTGTAGTGTTTCAGCACAATCATATATCCACTATTTAACAATGTAAAATTTTGATGCTTAGATCAGCATTTTCTTTGTTCTGTAAAATTTATATATTTTTATACTTATATAACTTTTGCTTCGTCCAGCACCGGGTAAATATAACTAGTAGTAAACTTATTTACTATTCTGTATTAGGTTTTCCATTAAATAAAAGTTGTTTTTCACTTATTTAATATATTTTAAAGTATCAAAATAAACAGGAACAACGATACCATAGTTGATTTTAGACTGAACAGTAATAAAATGCTGCCAACCGTTAGAGAGGTTGCCGGTTTTATGTTTTACAGTGATAGCTTATATCTCAAGCTAAGATTATTGGCAGCACTGCAACTGAAGCGTGAATGAACAACATTGCAAAGAGAACTGTCATAGTTTGGTAATTAAAATTATATTATTTATTTACTCTAATTTAATATTATATTACTTACCTTTAATATAATTTTTAGGAAGGAGAAAAAATAAAATAAATATAATTGAAACATTATGTTTTATTCAAAAAATTAAAAAACAGATATAATTGTTTTATTCAAAAATTAAAAAATCAAATATAATATCATATATAATAATACTATATAAGTTTTACTCTTTAACATTTCGAATCTCGCATATAGCTCATGTCCTTCCCATTATAGTTTTGTTCTCGACAACAATTAAATATAATGATTTGGCTTGTTTGGTATTATTCCTCAATAGCCTCATCACTAAAGAAATCGTTAAATTTCTTTGGTAACAAGATGATTTCTTCGGCGGTATTGGCGATCAGGGATCGTCCTATCTTAGTTTCTCGAGATATCACTTCATGGATTATATATGGTTTTTGCAATTTCAATTCCATGGGTTTCTTTATATTGGTTTTCTTATTTGCTTCAGCTAGTAAAGATAGGTCCATCTATTAGGGGAAAAATATTAATTAGCAAAATAAAAAAATGTGAAAACTTGTAAGTTACTTCCCAGGTAGACCTAGGATAACTTTTTGGTGGCCCAAATGCCAACATCAAAATGTCAACTGCTGACTTTTGGACTGTCCAAAATATTGCATTTTTGTTATCCGAAACTATTACTAATGTCTGTTCTTTGCATAACTTTCGGATGTACAAAATGTTAGACTATTGTTATCTAGTGACAGTCCCATTGATAATCTCATAATGATGACGTATTGCTATCCAAATAAAGGATGCCTAAATAGCTACTTGTTTGTTATCTGAATGTCAACTTATTGAGTGCACAATACTGTAGCATAATGTTAACCAAATGCTAGCATAAAAACGTCATCCGAATGGTATCTTTTTGTATGCTGTGGAGAGGGCAGGGGAGAGAATTTAGAATACATTGTTTATTCATGCATCCATGCATGCATGCATGTTAAACTAATGCGATATATGTTGATTTTCTTCTTCCAATTAAAATTTTACACAAAAAATTGTATTGATATAAATTTGCAATAATTATTATGATTAATAAGATAGTTTTTAATTGCATCTTGATAATATGAATTTAAAATTTACATCAATGCATTTTTAAACCTTTAATTGATAGGAGAGAAATAACATAATATTGCATCAATTTAACGTGAGCATTTTGTATAAATAATTTAAAATGAATTCTAACAATACAATTTATAGGTGAAATAACAAAATATATTCTTAATCTAAATTTATATACAAAACAACACATATTATTATCATACCACGCCCTGTACATTTTTTTTCGTAATAATTAATATATATTAAACATAGTTTAAATGCATATAGTGATTTTAAAACAACCAAAAAGAATGTGACATTTTTATCTTACAAGATGATAGAGACTGTATACAAAAATATCTCAGATTTTTCTGATGGCTCCTGTAAAGGATATTGTTTAAATATTTCAATTAAAAGTAAGTACTGGTTATATTATGGGTGACAATATATTAAAAAATAATTGAAATATTAAAA